TTACAGGCTTCGTTGAAGAGCATGATTGAGAAGTGGTGTGTTGGTGAGATTATCAACCAGGTGCGATGATATTTAGGAGATTTTGGTCATTTGTAAATACATTTGGGAAATGAATTATTATAGACTGCCCTGTAGAGCACTTTGAGACCTTGGGAAAAGAATATACGGGCCGCTTTGAATAATAAACAGAAAGCTACGCGGTTCAAGAGACAAATATAGAAATTTACGCCAAATACATTTAGACGGTGTCTCTGCTTTCATCAAAGCTTTCTAGACCAAACCCAGTCTGGATTGCCTTCGACCCTATTCGAGATCCGGGGTTCGTTAGATCTAAGGTTGTTCAGGAAGTAACTTCGATAAAGCCTAACCACATTCACCGTCCTCATTTATACTGAATGCAATACTACATTCGATCATCAGAGTGGTGTTTCAACTGCTGGCTGGTCACATCTGGGACGCCCTGCTTTTCATCATCCCAACCAACTTAGAGAAACATAAAACTTGTAGAAGATAGCTCCGCATCGAAGAAAACTTGAGTTATTCAAAGTCAGCCTAGGTCTCTCGGTTATAGATATCGTTATATTTCGACAATGACTGTCGTAGAAGCAAATCCGCTTCCACGCCTTTGAAGCGCGCAGGATTCAGGGAGTCCAGGAGAGCCTTGTCTTCTGAATTTGTCGACTGCTTACCATCGCCAAGAATCTCTCTTGTCAATAGCTTAGCAGTACCAGCAGCAGTTGTAACCCAAATGGCGGCGGCAAGCCATAGATTCGCAACATCAGGGACCCGACCAGCGAAAGGCAAGTTGTCAGGTGTGACAGAAAAGATACCATTGAATGGCTTGTCCGCTACCCAAGGTTCTTCTGGGTTTGTGTTCTGTCCTTGGACTTGAAACTCAGTTCCGTTCTTCAAGTTCGAAGAGGCGTCTGAAAGCACCTGATCGAAGCTTGATGGCCAAGCTCCAATCGCGCTTTCAGTGGGATCAAGCTGCATCGGAGGATGGTCATAACTGCCCAAACCATCTCGATCTCCATGGTCCCTTGCGTAGACATGATGATCCAGCCAGCGAACGAATGGGTACGAGGTACCGACACGTCTAGCCCGGGGCGGAGTGAAGGTGTAAGGGTGTGCGACGGGGACAATGGGAATCGGAAGTTGCGTAACAGGGGCGTTGTCGCTGTGAATCAAGGAAGACGTCCAAATTCCAGTTGCGAGAACCACGATACTGCCTTCCGAGTTGATATCTCCACTAGCAGTCTTAATAGTCGCTATCTTTGGCGTGGCGTTGTCCTTCTTGGTCACTAAGCCTGTTACGGTGGCTTCTAAGAAATCCACCCCTCTGGCGCGGGCTTGGTCGACATAGTAGGAAGTAATGACGGTTGCATTTGCGGTTCCATCAGATGGGAAATGCAGACAGTGCTTAATTGAGTTGGCGTCAATGAAGTCCGGGGCAAGAGAAGCGGCCGCCTCTGGAGTGAGAAGCTCCGCTGGTAGACCAGCCCCCTGTGCTATTTTCTGCCGGCGCTCTAAGGTCTCTAACCCAGAAGGCGTAGAGGAAAGTTCTAAGCCGCCGACTGTTTCAAAGCCACCTGGAATTGTGAGGTAGTCCTGGACAGTGTCTTTAGCCAACCGAGTCAAGACCGGCGATTCATTGAGTTGGCCAACGAATCCTGGGGCATGACCAGTGGAACCCAATAATGTTTCTAGGCTTTTGTCGACGAGTATGATATGATTTTCACTTTCGGCCTCAGAAAGATGGAACGCGAGTGCTGCGCCAACGATGCCTCCCCCAACGATAATGATCTGGCGAGGAGAGGGATTGTCGTTCAATTGCGCAATGTTCAATGTGGGCAGCATCTTGAAAGTGTGTCCTTTAGATTTTGCACTTGTTTAAAGGGGGTGAGTACCCTGAAAGTGGCTCTGAATAGCCATCTTAACTGTATGGATTGACGATATCCAGCCCGATGTCGGCATATTTGTCCCCTCATGTATCCGTCTTTAGCCGCGTTTCTGCGGAATTGATATTGTTTAAATCGCTAAGGATTGCTTAAATAGTAGACCAGCTTTGTTTAGTGACTTGGATCCCGCGTGAATATCCTTGGCGTTGAACGATGACTCATTTATCATTTGTGGATATACCACGTTGTCTCAGGCTGTCTGCGTCAATTTCCTGCAACATAGCAATATAGAAAAAAGCCTTTAAGAGATCGCTAGAGCTTGCCTTAAGATATTACCGGTCGAAAAGCCGGGGCGATGGAATTGGGCTAAGATATTTAAGCAGAGCGAGGCCGGATTGTATGGGACAGCGATACTTCACTTTAATGGCAACCATACGAATTCTTCGCTCAAATGATATATAGTTCGTAGCCTAATTAAATTCAAACATATTCTCATTTTATCATATACTCTTGCCTGACACATACCTATCCTGAATTCAAATCCCGAGTATTCAGGAACCGTGTCGTCTTCCGGGTCAACATGCATCCAAGTCGTCCTGGAACCGCTTTGATATTCGTCACCGGAACCGAGATTAAGGCTCCACTGTACCCCAGGGACTGTTCAATTCCCCCGCAGAAGCACGGCCAATCTCGGGATTATCATGGACAGTTGAAATAAGACTTCAAAGTTTGACCAACCGCAGGTCTGAATGATCAACAATAGGGGGCACTTTGATTCTCCCACATATGGCCAGAGGGTGATCAAGAACATTTGAAGGAAGTATTCCTATATTTTCCTAGTACCAGCTTGGTTTCGTAAACGCGGGATTGCTAGTATCTACTACCATTGGCGTCATAGATTTTCTAAAATTATGCCTTAGACAACGGTACCTATAGGTGTCGACAGATTTCCGATATCTACCCCGGCATTATTGAGTGACTGATGAACCTTTAAAAAATTGTCCAATTATCTATTGATTAGATCTCCTCAGTAACATTGAGAGCCAGGTTTGTGCATCCCATAGGCACGCTGATCCACGCCGCATCCGCATCTGAGGCCGAATCGCTATAGTTGTAAGCACCGTTGGAGGTCATAATCTGTCCAACAGTAGTGTCAAACTTCTCTGCAAGATCTTTGTAAACGCCGTAGGTGAAGTGGAACGGTGTAACATGGCAGACACTAGGAACACACTGGGGAATCTTGAGGAAAGTGTTGACGGGAAGCTCCTCATGGATAGACGAAACAGCCATTTTGCTATTCTCGTAGATCGACTCGACCGTCATGTTCAGCTTGTACAAAGCGATTTTCTCCATGGTGTCACCTGCAATGGTTCTGTAGTCATGCGGACCACCTTTGAGACAAGTAGCCGTAGCATTTTGTTTGATCAAGAGACAGGTTGTGCTGTCCGGGTTGCAGACCTGGGGAGGAATGCGGAGAGTGAAATTGGCAAACATGTGCTCGGCATCGATCATCCGGTTGTACCGAGCGATGTCGCAGGGGCCACGGTCGAACTTCTTGGCAACGGTGAAGATAGTGTCTTCGGAAGTGGTGGTATAGGTAGTGGTGGTAGTGTTGAGCGAAGACTCATCACATGTAGCCCGGTTTGCATGAGGAATGGCGGCAGAAGTGGCTGCGAGGCCGGAAAGAGCGTATTTCAGAGATAGGAAAACCATTATGACCAAGGAATACTTGAAAGGAATGGAGAGCTTGAACGGGAAATAAAAAGCAGTGAATCTCGGTTTTATATACTTGTTATATAGCTTCGAGGAGAGATCATAACCCCGAAGGATCAAGGTACAGCCAAGCTCCCCTGATCTTCTCGCAATTCGTAATTTGTGACGAGTGTCGGGCTCCGAGTAAGGTGGAGCATGGGTCTCAATGATCACCCCTTCTCTCATCAAACCAAATTGGTGTTGATACATGCGAGGGAGAGATAATGACAATCTCGGCCTTCCGTTATTGGCTCACATCCACTAGTAGGAGACCCGCTGCAGGATGCTTGGCCATGATCATACGGAAAGACCTTGGATTGGATGCGATTGTATGCCAGTACCTGTGCCATTAGATGTTTGTTTCATGCTTCTCATATAGTGTGCATCCCGGGCCTTGCCTATTCGACTCCTCGGCCAGAGAGCATGATGTTAACCAAGTCAAAAGTTCACAATACAAAATACGTCTTCTTTCGTCTGTTCCGCTTTTTATCAGACAAGCTTCGGCAAAGTATAACTCCGAGGAATATATTGGGGGAAAGCGCCGATTCCAGCCTGGATCAGCAAGTCCCATGCCTGTCAACACGATACAAGAATTATATTCAAGATGGGTCATACTTCAACGGTGTGCTTCAAAGATTGAGACATCCTGGTCGCGAAATCCCTTGGGCTTGGGCACAAACCACAATGTGAAGGCATTTTTCTTCGCACAGAGGGATGGGAAATTAATCGCTTCAGGATTGCTGAATTGCCTTCAAGGTCAAGTCTTAGCATCTCGGGGTCGGCGTTGGATGCCCGAATAGGAAACAATCGGCTTTGCACCCATACGTAATCCAGTTCCTGATGATCCTTAAATTTGGGTGAGATCAACGGAGAATATCGAGGAGCTGCGGAGTATCTAGTGTAGCTTGCGCCGTGGAAGAAATTAGTGAAACTCATTGTCATCATGGAGAGGTCTAAAGGGGAGAAACGAGAAGCAGGGGCTATATTGGTTAAAATTGGACATTGATGACCCTGTAAAAGGTGAAGAGAAAGGTAGGTTAACCAGTACATTTAGACAGACTACTCAGGCGACAGTTACCTCAGGCCTGATACATCAGGTCTCTGAACAACGTTCCTGGCACTAATTTTTGCAATTGCATCGACGATGAAATCATATGGCTATAGTTCGCCAATAGATATTATTCAAGATGATACATAATACTTCCACTAAATTAGAATAGGAGTAATCAAAATAGAAACCAGGTTTACCAAGTATTAGGGAGAATATCGTACTCTATAACGTTCAGGTAGCGAATGAGGAACCCGGGGACTCTCGGGGGACCTTCAAGGTCTATACAGACAGATCTGTGTCTAGGAATGCACTGTAGTACCCCATAAGGCGACATTAAAGATATCGGTGAGGTCGGAGGTTCCATTTTCTGCCAGGCATGAGCCGCTTGTTGCTGCCTTCATTTCATCCCGGCGCTGTAGGTTCCTGTCGATATATTCACCCATGCCAGTGGCATGAAATACCTGCGACAGTCGATAATGACACTCCAAGTACTCCTTATTGGGTAATTGGAGCTCTTCGTATCCAGGAGCCTGTTTGAACTTTATCTCTGCTCCGTGTGGTGCATATGATTTCATTTCCAGAGAAAATCGTTTGTAGTGGACGAAACGGTAGGTGTTATCAGCACCCTAGTGATAACTATTAGCTATAACCTGGTTAACCTAATAATCAGCTTTAAAGTCTTACACTCGGCTGGAACGCGCATTCAAAGTGACCAAAGTCAGAATGGATCGTCCTGTGTAAGAGCACGCCATTATCAAGATTATCGATTGTGGCCGCTTCGAGAGAGGGAAGGGTGGAAGGAAAACATTTATGTATCATTTCCCACATAGAAGAAGTCTTAGCTTTTGAAGCCTTTTAGCTATTAGCTTATGGTCTTTCTGGGTAGATAGACAAAATAGTACTATACCGTAGACTGATTGAACTTGCCGAAGCTGATTGGCAAAATGTGTGCGGCCTCAAGATTTCCATGGAGGACCTCGGGAGGTTCGCCCTGCTGCTCCCATTCACCATTGCTAAGGAAACCCGACACAACACATATCTTGTTATCACGATTAAAACAACCGTCAACAAATTGCTGGCGACGGACTTGTGGCTCCGTTAATTTTGCCCGTTCAGAAGTTTCATCTACTTGATACTCGGAGAAAGGGGACGACTGTACGGAAGGGGGTTTCCCGCCTGCTGCTCTAACTAGAGGAATATTAGTTTAGTCTAGATAGATATATGGACTATGGTGGAGATATAAATATGTATTATCCTTCACTTATGAGTGCAATTGCGTATGAAATGTTGGCGCTTACTGGGTATCAGGAGGTATGTGACAATATTTCTGAACGCACAGAAAAGTGTGTCACTTGTTTCGGACTTGAGAATTTCACGGGCGATTGCTTCGCGGCCCCCTGAGGGCAGAAAGTCCAAGAGGGCTTGCTTGGTACGTGACGACTAAATTCGAGTCTCTATCGTCTTCTGGTGGAGTGTACCGCGATAAAACGTCCAAGGCTTCGGCCTTGAGGGCTTCCCATTCGCTGGCATCGAGAACCTCTGGTGGGGTTCGGACTGAAGATTCATGGCCAATTGGACTTCGAGCTTCAACCTTTTCTGTTTTTTCCTCAGTCCTAGCCGATCTACGTGGGGGGAATGTGGGGGCATCGGGGTTCTGCATAGATGCTTGTGGAGATTCACAACGCTTCCGCTTCGTAGGTTTCCGCTTCGTAGATTTCTTCATCTTGTACACTGAAGTTCAGTGGTAAAAAAAAGTAACCAAGAAAAAGAAAAAGGCAGTTGTAGCAACTAACTTATAATGGCAACGTATCTTTGCTCTGTTACGTGCCTTATCGGCCCTACACCGCCTTCGTCAAATACCGAGTCTAATCTGATTATTGGTATTCTCTTTGCGTCCATTTATAGGTTGCATATCACGCTTTACTACCTGTCTTATACATATAGATATTGTGCTGTGATATACAGCATAGATTCAATCTTAGTTTGCTAGGATTTGGTTCTTTCTTTCGTCTTTCTTCCTCCTTCCCCCCTCTGCCGGTTTACAACTCGAATACGAATCCCTTGATCGAGCTACCCTTCGCTCATATCACTTCGAGAGAGCCCTACCGGTGTTAGCGGTGATGGCGATACCAACATGGGCTTGAGATGATGGAATGGTTCTGCAGTTCAATCATACATTTGATCCTTCTACGAATTTCCAAAACAGGGAATTCCGACTTCCCGGCCTGTGATATAACTCACTCGACAGATGCATTGCTCATCCTTGCGCGACTTCCATGAAATTCCTTTTAGAGATGCAAACGAGATTACGGTGCACATCAAAATATCGAATATCACTATCACATGCTGCATCCCATGCTGCATCCCATGCTTTTGAAAGGACATCACTCTGAGCCGATATGATTTGATGCTGCGAATCCAACATCGGATAATTATCAGATGATATTCTTCTAGAGGCAAGCTTCTCAGATAGGCACGTAGATCATCTGCTAATTGAAATGTGATTCTAACCACAATCTACCGGGATGCTTTCAAGTTAGTAACAACCAACACAGCAAAAGTTACGTCATATGCCCTGCTACATGAAATATAATTCCCAGGCTACGTAATATCGAGACTTTGCGCTTTGGGTTGGTGCAACACATCCACGACAAATAGCGTAAATGCAGAAGAGATAAACCAACAACGGTGGCAACAGGATAGTAACGTTAACAGCAAGGTGACTATTTGCGGGCGCCGAGGCTTTCTAAAACGCCAACCATATGGAACTTATAATTGTGATAGACAAGGATGAAAGCGGTAAAATCCAGTATACCAGTGCCATTTAAGCGTCCCATACATACATAGTACCAAGTCCGGGTATACATTCCTTTTTGACCATAGCCGAATAATCCCGGCTAAAAGTAAGAGGCGAACAAGATCGGAACCGGGTGATCTTGGAACCCCAAGTCTGACCAAAGTAGCCTAACAACAACCGTAACTTCACGATATTCTCCGATGGTCTAATTAAACATTAATGTGCATATACACCCGTGTACACAAGTCCCATGATTATCAATCATTTCGCCCAATCGATTACTAAGACCGCCCCAATCTCACTGTTGCATTGCTGCATTCCAGCAACGACAGCCAGCAGGCCTCGTGTCATACATAGGCAGCAATAAGCTGTTACAGCCTCACAGTTTCGGGGTTCCCGGCTCTGCGTTGGCCGAGGTGAGGTGGTTACTCAAGCGGGGGACACGAGGCGGACAGGGCTGACGATCGGCTGTGGGATTATTCTATTTCAAGAATGTATGCATCTTGGGCAATAAGTTACATCTACATCAACGTGGCAAGGACTTGGCTGGGGTAGGGGTTACGCGGGTAAGAAGAAATTCGATGTATAGTTAGTTTTAGGGATGCTGGATAAGATTACTACTCTTGGTTGATTTGAGATTGTGAGTTTTACTTTTTGATTTGGAAGGATATTCTTGTTTCAGGATATGGTCAATGTGCTTAGTTCAGGCTACCTAATGTACTAAGAACGGCTATTGACAAATGTGATATCGAACATGGGGGGCAATATTCCGATAACAGATCACGGAGGCCTGAAGCGCTGTCGGAAATTGCAAAATATCACAAATTGCCGAAGATAATGAAAAACAAATGGTGGGGGTATACAAGACGGGGGTATCTGAACAAAGCGCTAGGAAAGACGGATTCATTAAAAACCGAGAACAATCAAAAGAAAAAGAAAACACCGGGTCCCCATGGATGTAAGCCTGAGGGTAGGCAAAAAAAAAAGGGTCAAATGATGACTGAATCAGGCGCTGCAACTCCATGCAAAAACATGATCCTCGTGGGATGGGGGGAATAACGGATTCGCTGAAAAGGAAAAAAAAAGAAAAAAAAAACAAAAAGGTCAAATGGGAAAGTTGGAAAATGAGTCAGAGTCAAATGAACCAGCGGTGTGTACAAAGGACAAGAAGGTCGGAGTCGGAGGTGACGGTGACAATAGGTGACAGTGCCCCAGTGGGATTTCTGGAAGCGCCGACAGCGATATATTAGGTAAGCGCGGGGGGCAATGGACCCATGGATGTCCAAATGGGTCCCGAAGTCGGCCCGTGCATACCCATGTATGGTCGCATTCAAAAGATACGACCTGGTGAAGTTTAGATGTGGCTGCCGATCGACGATGGCATGCTGCGCTGCTTGCAGATTTGGGCTGCTGGTGTGATTCGTAGACTTGGATGAGGCGATCTCGCGGGTATCACGGTTGAAGGGGAAAATAAATCGAGTTAGGCACCGCTTGGTGCGGGTCTCTGCACCCCTCGGGGAGATGCGGGGTGGAATTAAAAGATAAGGCGCGGTAATGACATGATTGTGAAGAGAACGTGGCGTTATTCGGAGAGCGCCTGCGCTGCACCGGGAATCACCGGTGAGTTTATTGACTGAGCACCTTCGATGCTGAGTGAGCACGTCGTTTGGGAGTGGGCGCGACGCGGTGCTTCTTGCGCTTCGGTGTCTCACGCTCTGCCACAATGCTCTGCTTTGCTGTGCGGAGGGCGTGGGTTGCTCGGGCGTGGGCTTCAACCTTGGCAAGGAAGTTGGCCCGATCTTCCTGTTCGGCGATCACACGGAGGCGCTGAAGTTGCTGTTCCATGGTCACGGAGCAGATGGTACCGGCGTCCTGGTTGAAGGCTTCGTCCACGGCTTGCTCAGCGGCCGTGTTCTCTGGCATCCACAGGAGGTCGTCGTCAGAGAGAAAGGCGCTGGCACATGAATCGGCGGAGTTGTTGCTTGAGAGGGAGGGGCGGTTAGGCCAGGAGGGGAAGGCATATGCTGCTCCCATCTCACTAGAGAAAGACGACTTCCGTGGGCTGATATCGAGGAGAGAGTCGGTGGGAGTTGGTGGAGGGGCGAAAGGACTTGACATGGAAGAAGATGCGCTGCCACTCCAGGCAAAGGTAGGTTGTGCTGGATCTGTGCTGGCGATAGGAGCCGCCGCCTTGGGGAGCGACATCTCATGTAGACGTGACTGAATAGGAATCATGATGGCGGATCTGTTGAGTAGATGTTGAATAGGGTTGGCAATACCAGGGCCCAGTGGGTGAGAGAGACAACAGTGTGAAGGGTGTAAGGTGTAAGGTGTAAGGCGAAATGTAGAATGAAGAAGGGTCGAGGAGGGTTGTTTATCAATGATCGGTGAGAAGGACACACACAAATAGATATCAAAAGATCAAAGCCGGGGAAAGACTTCTAGACTTCCCGACACCCTTGCAGTCGAGAAAATCAAATTCCGGAAAGGAAAAAGAAATAATGAAATAACCCAAAATAGGTAATCCAAAAATATAAAAAATGGATAAAACAAATAAAATAAATGATAAATAAATCAGAACAATCAGGCGGAAGGAGGTTTCCGCAAACAAAGGGCTGTCGATCAACCTTGGAACCTTGGAAGAACTGATCAACCCAAACGAAAAATAAAAAAATAAAAATAAAATCCCAAAAAGGAATTTATCTTTATTTTTATTTGACAATTTCCAGATGTATCGGATTTCTGGATTTCTGACACACGGGGAAAGATCGGATCCCCGACTTAGCGCTGGTTTTTTTTTTTTTTTTTTTCTTCTGTCTCTGACTCTAACAAGTCTGACACAGATATTTGTATAATGTAGATTGTATAAGGTCGAGAGAATCTGATATCACCAAATCTTGGATTTCCACAATTCCCCCTTGCGGCAGGAGATCGAGGTTTCCCCGAAAGGGCTGCCCAACAGTCTGAGAAAGCTCAAGATCTGGTCTGATCTCAAAATCGGATTGTTTGAAGTATTTCCAGTTGCGATGATAATTCTCCAATGATCATGCCTCGGATTCACCGCTTCGTTCGGGGGAAGGAAAGGAAAACAAAAGTCGCAGGAGCTGCAGGCCCAAGTGGAATTTGCAGCCCTAATCGCATGCAACCAAACACAATCTTCGAGCGCCTAAGCGTTTTGAGGAATCAGGTTTGTTGGGCGTTTGGCGGTCACGGCTCAACACGTCAACACCGTTGATAGTCGAAAGTACTTGTGCAAAGTTGAAGAAAATTTTACATCCACGGGAGAACGAACTATTCTCGTTCTTTTAAACAGAGTTGGGTAGAAGGGAGTTTCCCCGTGTCTCCACACTCGGGCCCAGTCTATAGTCCGTACGGAGTAGAGAATTCCATTTTCCAGTCTAGAAGCCTTAGTCTATAATCTAAATGAAAAGGAACGGCCAAAGGATTGGAAACTAACGGTTTCCGCAACCTCGGAACTTCTCCCGCCTGTTTTCGCCGGCTTTATAGCGGATAAATACAGTTCTTCGGCATTTTTTAATTTGCCGCCATATACTACCGTTCAACTCCGTACGGAGTACGGATATGGAATGAGCGTTGAGTTTTAGTTCTGCCAAAATCTAATTACTTCCCTTATCGAACTAATCCCGAGGAAGAGCCGGTCTTATTTTCGCACAAATCACAGGCCACCCCACAGTCACACCGAGGCTCTGGTGGGTGCTCTTTGTTCAAAAATCAATTAAATTAATAAATTGAATATTGAGTCGGTCTAGATCGTCCAAGTCTAGACCACTCATAACTAAGACATTTCCCATCTATCAACTCGATCATTTTTTTGGAGACCTGTCCCCCGGAATGTCATGCCCCTTTCCGTTCAATCTGTCAACCTTTATGTCTTTATAATCTTTCTGATGCACCAGATGACTTGCTTAATGCAAGCCTAGTGCCTACGGGGAAGAATATGATGCTCTTCCCCGGTCCAAGTGGATCAATCCGTGATCCTGGGTGTCCCGACGACCAATTTTCATCCTCCCTATTCTGGCACATGATCGCCACCTCTACTCCGTATTATACTCGTCATATCCCAGGACACTTAAAATGTATTAACTCCCTACTGATTGATCGCAAGAGTACTTTGGCAATTGTACATATCTATTCCCCGACAACGCCAAAGGAATGTGAATTGCATATCCCCCCCACGCCTCTTACGTCCTCCCACTCCATAATTGATGCTTCCGCGTCCCGGCCCGCCGGGGAACCTGAGAAAAAGTTTGGAAAGGGGTCAAGCGGGGGGTTTCAACGACAGACCCAGGAAATCAAATTCAGATCGACGTGACAGCTCTGCGGTCCAACGCCTTTGAACCGGCTACTCCGTACTCTACTCCCGAATAAAATCATATTGAACATAGTTCACGCAACATGTGAAAAGCTTGCTGGATGGGAGGAGGGCCGCGGTTCACGATCCGTTGCGCACGTCGCAATCAATCTTTGCCCCTTTCCAGGCTCTCGGTTTTTTTTGATGGATTTTCAATGCATGCCCTATTACCTGTCCCCTGGGTTTCATGGTGGAGACAGATGGCTCCACCCGGGGGGCTGGGGTGCTTGAGCTCCGGTATTGATTTGGAAGCACGTTAATCTCCCGGAGAATATTCGGTGTGTTGGGCACAAAAGTTCTGTTTCAGAGAGCGAAGGCGAGAGCGAGGTCTATCAGCTCTACCTCGGCTATGTTTATCTCCAGCTGTGTGAAACTCAGCTTGGGTCAAAGACCAAACCATGTCATATATAGTTTACATGCACATATTGGTGGACTGGTTATTGTAAACTGGATCCAAGTATGAACAACGTCAGTAAATGCAGGGTGGAAAGGAGCTTGATTTGCATATTGAATTGTGTGGTCTTTGTAAAAAGTGCATTGGAGCTCAGATCCACACAGGCCCCTTCCAGCCCTTCCCAGGTTTCCCTGCAGCTTATACCATGCAGCTCATCTGCAGTTCATATGCAGTTCACATGCAAGATCTCTGAACTAAAATTGCAAGGACACAGCCGGTCGGGTCTGCTCTTGCATACATAATAGAATAGCACTGCTGAAGAAAAGAGGTTGAATATTGAATCCACACTGTCTAGAAGGTACAACATATTTTAATCTCCCGATTTACTCTGTTATATCAACTCGGACCGAGGTCTAGCCTCTGTGATCATAAACATGAGTAAACAGTAAAAATTAAATATGACAGAAACAAGTTCCGGTACCTTGACTCACCGACTCAATAGCCACCTAATTCCATTTTCTAGGTACCTTTTCCAAGTTTGCCACATCTGCACGAATTCTCGATAGATGCAACTCATCCAGGGTTGATGCCGCGGGCGCTAAAGGATAAGAGTATTTTGAACCATGGAAAACACATCCACCCCATGGGGTCCCGACCCACATTCCGCCAGCGGAGAATTTGAAGAATGTGAGATAGCACATTCTGTAAGTACGCAGTAGCTACGTACACGGTCCTTTTTTTTGCAGTGTGCAGTGTGAGAAACCCAAGATCCTTCCGGGACACTATCCGCGGTCTCGGCTGCGTCGATCGACAAGGGTGTGATGGTGGTGGCGGGTTGACGGTGTACCCGAGACGTGTCCATGGGGCTTGCTTAACAGTCAACTTTGATCATATCCCAGATCAATACGGAGTAAGCGCCCCCTTATTCATCGCAGGGACTGTGCGAGCATCAGTAAGATCCGCACGGATAGCATAGTCGTAGGCCCATAATCTAGACCGACGCCAACATTGTGATGATTGTGAGATAAGACAGCCCATCTCTGAGACCGCTACAGCAGCTATCGCCATTGGATACAAAGGTTTGCCATTATCTCTTCTGCCGACTCCAATCAAATCATCTTTTCTGTGTCAGAACTCACATTGTACCTACTCACATAAATTACTCCGTCAAAGGATCTGCCTTGACCGATATTTGCGACCGGGTAATACGTGATCGCCACGGTCGCTTTCCCGGATACGCTTTAGGAAATTCCCAAGACGGAACAAACGTCAACCAGAAACAAGCCAGGGAGGATTGTCTCCGTCTCATGAAAGGAAATCATCAATATACCTCCGGTGGTTTATTTTCGAGCACGTTTCGACACTCCGCGCTGCAACACCCACTTATGTCCAAAGCCGAAGGGAAACTGCGGTAGGCCGTGAACCCGCGTTAACATTGTAGACGATGCGTCTCCGCTGCATTCTTCGACTTGCCTACTTTGGACTAGCCAGCAATTGCTTTGTCCTGACGTGACGAGCCGTTGTTCCTGTACAATGCCGGGCATGAATGCTTCGGGCGCATCAACGTTTCAATCTGCGCTGGGTACTGACATCCGCGCTCTGCGCGTCTAGATGCTACGGTAAATTTCGACAGCAAAAAAAAGTAACATCCTGGTCGTACAGGCTGGCAACATCGTATGCCCAACCGAGTGAGGATGGACAATATCCGAACAGGGGTCGTTGATAGTGTTATCCCGTGGTGACAATCCTGGTCGCGCTAAAATGACATGGGTTCGTTGCCTGGTTGGCTATCCCTGATACACGGGTCGGATGGACTGGCGGTGAATTGTGTTTCTTTCCTATTTGGCTTGAAATATGCACCTGAAATTTGGGCTGTTGTAGATGTTTGCGAGATGAGGGTTGGGACTTCTGTTGGGATTTGCGACCGACATTGTTTGACTTGGAGGTCTTGAAGTGCCCAGGTGACTAGCTTCGTCTCTCGCTATCCTCTCCAGTGCCCTCTTTTGTGCCAACAAGACTAGCGACAAATCTTGAAACGCTTCCCTATTTCTTGAATTGAAGTGGGGCACTAGACTAAACGCTTGTTTTAAGCCAAGGTCAGCTATATGTCACCTTTGCCTAAGTTATGCTATGAAGGCAAACGGATCATAAAACCCTAGGTATAGCAATAGATTATAGAAGGATACCATCCTACTATTTAGTTGAGCGTATGCGATTAAAAACATTGAATTTTATTATGTTGAAATATGTTACCATATTCGAAAGTTGTTGCGATTATATATATCCGCGAGTCGCTGTTGGCTATAAGCCAATTTATTAAACCACCTAAGTAATTCGTGGCGACCATCTCCCCAGTATGGTGGTCTCTGCCTAGGAGAAGTATTAATCTGGGAGTAGAACTATTCGAACAATTTCACCATTCTCAGTTCTGATAGCATTCATTTCTTAGCTTTCCGACAACCATGCGTCAATCCTATTGTATCTCTGATAGTAAATCTGATAAGCATGTGTTGTAGCTAGTGTCTTCGCCATTTCTTTGTTTATTTGTCGTTGTTTGCCGTCATTGCTACTGAGATACAACAGTCTAGATAATTGTGCTCTATAGAAACGACCAAATTCTTCTTTCTGTTATTATTTATTTTCTTACTGCCGTGAACCGCTTCACAAAACCACATCTGGTATTCTCATTCTCTCTAAAATGGTTGGTAATAAACCACAACCCGAAGATTTCGAGAACTCAGACGTTCTAAACGCAGTTAACCCTCATCCTAAGTGAGGTTATATGCATGGTAACCTAGTTTCACTCTGCTTCGATGTCCACTAATCCTGACATATGTATTAGGTCCGATCAGAAACCGAAACCCTTCCTGGATTCCTAGAGAGACAAAGAAAATGAAGACATAGAAGACGAATCTGAAGTCTCAGACGAGTCACTTAGCGACGGAACAAGAGGAGTAGCAGAACAGGGCCTAAGGATCCATCTCCGATCAGCACCAACACCTTTGATAGGAATCCAAGAGTGATTTATATGTTTCCTTCCAACCTCCACCTGACATTCCCCAAACGCTTTCTGCAACCGACGATCGAGTTTGCTCTCCCTGTGCACTCGATCCTCGCCCTGGAAAAGCATCTGTCTCCGTTCAGATACAATGACCACACCACAATCGAAATCATTCAAATACATCGATGCCACCTCCAGCCGGAGACTATCCCAGTCTATATTTTCCGGGATCCATTCCTGGACTGGTCGTAGCGTACTTGGTTCGTAGACCCATTTGGGCGTCCAGCATTCGAAGTTCAAGGGCATTACACGGGATCGTCCGCTCCACAGTATCCATTTGTTGCGCGTTGGAACTAGCGTGCTGCCTCTTTCGAGAAGAGTCATGATGTGGCCCATCCGTAGGGACTCGGTTGGGCTGACGGATAATTTGGTGAATTCCGAGTCTGACTTTTTGATGATTTCAAGAACTCCGATTGATGATGTCGGTGGTTGTTGAAGTAACATTCCTTTCCAACTGGCGTCCTTTCGCAGGTAGAACTTGAGCTTTCGACGCTCAGGTTCCTCCAGCGGAAATCTGCTTACTTCGGTAATTTTTGACTCTGAAGTTCGTTGCTGCTTGAGGAAGAATTGAGCCCAGAGAACATCTTCTAGGAGCGGATTGCGAAGGCGCTGTGAGGGATCCGACAATTCGATTTTGGAGGGTTTGAAGAAAAGAGACTCTTGGAGTCTGACTGATGTTTTGATCATGGTGTTCCAAACGCGAGATACGCGTTGAGCAGATGTTAATAGAGTTCTCATATCTGTATGTAGAAGAATGTTCTCTAGTAGCTCATTGATGAGGAATATGTCGTGTGGTTGTGAGGGTTTGGTGATAGACATTATTGAAGATGATGTAGAATACTTCTGCTGAATTAGAATAGGAACCAGGTTTATCAAGTATTGGCGACAATATCATACCTTATGACGATCAGATACGAAATGAGGACCCCGGGGGACCTTCAGGATCTATATGAACTCGGAGGCAATTCCCAATATCCAACGTCTGAGAAAGAAGCAGATTTAGTTTGTATCAGAATTGCTAGATTCCCTGTAGAACTCGCTGCAAATGTAAAAAGAAGTTTGAAAAGAAGTCTCAAATCCGATTTTGCGAGAAAAAGAGTGTTGTACTTTTATGCTATGGCTGGCCCCAAGGTACTCTGGATGAGGTGATTCCGGACCACCAGCCGTGCTGTTCACAAGGTGCTCATATCTAAATGCGGGGATCTTATCTCCAATCATCCCCAGAACCTGCATCACTATCGACGACGATAGTAGCCTTAGAACTCGGCGATGGCTGAGCTGCAATGAATGAGCCTACGGAATTACAGTCAGGCTAAAGCCAATCGACACGTATCGGTTCAATAAGTCAATTCTCGCGTCGGGTCCCCATAATAGTACATTAATTTACACAAAATACGCCCAAAAACAGTGGAGCTCAAATCAACGCCTTAAATGGAACGTGGTATCGGGTATCATGATGATGCAGTAGCCAGCCACAGGGCACGGCTATGCGGGCAAAGACAAAAAGAAAAAATTCAGAAAACATGTGAAGAGGTGATCATGCAATGATGGTAGAGACCGAGTCCAGTTTATCATTCCGTTCAGCATCAGTGCCAATCACGTTTGGGACCTTCAAAGACTGGTCGGCAGAAAGCAAGTCGTCCATCGGCAATGAAATACTGGTTTCATGGGAAGTGGTAGATTCGAAGTCGGTGACAGTAGACGGAGTGGAGATGTCCTTCGGTATGGCCGAGTTGCACATGGAGTCTTCACTTCCAAACTGAGTAGACTCTGCGTACCTGTCGTATAGGTCATGTTCTGGGGTCGCAGATCGAGTCGAACACGGGGAGACGGAATCATTCACAACTTCGTAGAACAGCATGAAAGCACCCCCCTGGGTCATCACATGACCTTCACTAACCATCTGCACGTCATCGTCGCTGAGGCGCCACCAACGCTCGGGCTTGTCCTTGTCACCCTCAGCTTGAAGGATCTCGTCCGGTGCAGGAGCTGTGAATTCCGATGTCGGATACTTGCGATAGCAGATATAGTGTCCATTCTCATGCCGGCCGTAATGGGTGATGATTGCGCGTAATTGATATTGTCTGCTAGGGACATGAATTGATTCGCCAGGGTGCGGAAGCATGGACCGCGAAGGGTTTGTTTCCCAATGCTCAGAGTTGTCGCCGGATTTTCCGGCGGCTTGGGTGCCAAGACACCAATTGTTCAAATCAATCATTTGAGGAAACGTCACTGCCGCGAGATTCTTCTCCAACGCCCCGGTGTACTCATCAAAAACGCTACGGTTGATGTGGATAGCAAGACAGCGAGGAGCCCGCGCAATGACGGCTTGTCGAGATTTCGTGGTGGAGATTCGGTTCTTTGAGTTGATATGGCACTCCTTTGCCAACGTGTTTTCGCTGAAATCATTGCCGTCCAAAGCCGTCTTGACAGCCTCCAACCGCGAGTAGGCTGACAGTTTCACAGCATCGAAGGGCTGAGGTTCGTCGGGGCTGTCTGACCGACTCTCATCGGCCTCAAATCCCTTGATCAAGTTGATAAGCTGCTCTTGTCGATGCAACAGCGTGCACTTAGAGCATTCCACGCCTTCAATAGGCTCAAGCGTCATGTATTGGTCCAAGCATTCGCGAACATCGTACGAAGATCTTTTGCCCAGAGGCACAGTGAGGCAGTTGAAAGGAATTAACGAGAGCCCTTCGCTCCATCCGCATTCCATGCACCCAACCCGTTGAGCGAGTAGACCTTCGAGAGGATTACAAGATGAAACCCCATCAAGATAAAGCTTATCCGTCGATGGGAGGGATTCGGGTTCCCAAGGCGTTACCGGGTCGTCACAGTCGCTGTCTCTAAAAATGTTCTCATCGGGTCCTGCAATTTTCAATCCCATGTTCAAAGTCTCTCCGCGTGAGCATAGCTCGGCCTCATGGTCAATTTGATTGAGCAACTTGGAAAAATACTCTTGCGCAT